ATCTGAACAATTTTATAAAATATAACACTCCTATTTTCTCTTTGTTTAATATAGAAATTAGCGCTAGCTTTGCCTTGGCAGGTTAGTTTCTCCCTTGATCTGGAGTGACAACAAGCCATCCGGTAGACTATAGTCTTAGGAAGTTTAGTAGCATAAATGATATATAGAATACTTTCTGTCTTCTTTTGTAATCCCTATAATATGTATTGCAAATTACTTTATCAAAGCTAATAAACAAGGCTGAGTCAGCAAAAAAAAAAAAAAAAAAAAAAAAAAAAAAGTATATAATTGCTTTCAAAAGTTTGAGTTTACTTATAAAACTTTCTAAATATCTTTTGACTAATTTTCTAATTATACACAAAAAAAATATTTATAAAAAAGTTTTTATATTTCTTGACTAATAAAGTTTTTATATATTTTTAAAATAACTTAAAGTTTGTCTTCAAGAGTCAATATTATTTTCTTCTATTTATTTATAAATTACTTTAAACAAAAACTTGGATCCCAAGTAGTCTAAAAGACTCAAATATATACTTCCTTTACTAAAGACAAGAAAGTTTTAGAAAATAAAAAAATTAACTGATAGAGTGTTATCTTTCAGAGCTAAAAGTAATATGAAAATAAAGGCTTTTTTGTCATAAGAAAGTTTATTTCTTACCTTCTTATATATTATCTGTTATCTTATTATGTCTATTATTTTTTTACTATTTTTTTATTATTTTTTTGAGAAATTTTATCTACTTCAACTTGATCTTAAATTTTTAATAGGACAATATAATTTAGTATCTAATTGACTAATATGAAATATATTAGTAACAAAAAGTAAACAAGTACCTATTAACCATATTTATGCTTTTAATAACATCATTAATTATAGAAGAAGTTGATTAATATTCTATTATTATCTTGCTCTTTCAATTGAATTAATCCATAGATCAAGTTTTATAAGATTAATAAGATATAAGTAGCAAGTTTTCAAATAGTGAAAAAGTTGTTTTTTTCAAGCTAAAAAATTTTTTTTTTATTATTCTAATCAAGCAAAGTTCAAGATTAAGATCTCTTTCTTTTCTCAATTAGGCAATAAGACTAAATAGTCTCTAGTTTATATTAAGTTTTGAATCTTTGATTATAGTTGAAAATATATTTTTTCAGAAGTCACTAAAGAACATTATAATTAACAAAAATTGCCATCTTTTTAAGACCTTATCAGTATTACAAAACAAAAAAATTGTTAAAGAATCTAATTTTTGAGTAATAGAAGATATTTACTAGTAAAATTTCTTTAATTAAGTATAGTTGCTGAAAGATATTATACTGAAACAATATAACTCAATTCTTACTAAGTCATATAAAAATCTGGTATCTATTATAAATCATTTATCTACTATAGGTAGATAAAAAATCACTGTCCAAAGAATGTTGGAATAAAGTATATTTTTGAAAGTAAAGATAGATAATAAGTCTTCTTAGATAGTATATATAAAGAAAATTAAGGTTAAGAATAAATAAGTTTCTCAAATAGTTAGAAAAAGAAATAATATTCCAATTGAATATTTTTTACTGAGAAGAAGTCTTAAGAAGCAGGTCTTTGAAGGAAGCTAAAAAATTTTATTCCTTTTTTATTTTCTTGTAAGTTTATTTGAACATTTTTAGATATATAGTACTTTTTTCTTTTTTTAACCCATCCTTTTATAGTTTTCTATATTCCAGTGGCTTAATAGGATATTCAACAGTAGTAACTTGCCAGTGATAAGGTGATGAGCTAGGAGGGTATTCACTCAAAAATTACAATGAAGTGAAATATTAACTCCAAGGTCAAACTTAGAGGCTATTATTGCTTATAACAAGTTTATTAGATTTAATGGAAATATTTAGATTTAAGAAGATAAGTTTTAATTTTTTAATATTTCGTAATTTAGGATATTATAACATTATTCACAAATCTTACAACGTACATTTCTTGTCCACATAACAACGTCAGGCGATCTGCACTTAATATATATTGGTCTATCCTTTTAATCTCACATCTACCATCTATAATTAAATTTAACCTTGAGCAAATACTTCTGGAGGATCTGATCAACGTCATAAACGATATATTCGTTATACATAAGAAATTTATCGAGATTAATGCATTTTCCATTGCCACAGGGCACAGTGGTACCATTTTCCAATAAAAAGAAATCCTTAGGATCAGGGACAGTTTGACCCATTCCTTTAGTACAGTGTTTGCCCTGTTTTTTTGCCACCTCGCCGGCATTAAAGTCTCCATGCACCAACTCCAACATATCACCACAAGCCACCTCACACAGTAACATAAAACCGACATTATCACGATTACTCGTGTAGCAATAATTTGCGGACTTGGAGACACAGTCGGCAAAGTAAACACCTTTACCAAACATATATCCCGTGCATGGAACATGTGGGGGCGCGATTCTCAATCCCTGACTTAGAATTCCGGCGAAATTTGTTTTCCTAGAACCATGCCAGAGTAGCATCCTATTGTGCAGATTGCTATACTTTTCATATCGACTTCTTTCCCCCTCTCGTTCAATGTCAAAGGCGTCAAGAATTTCGAGCGTATAACTATTGTGCGTGGCGCCTTGCGTGTTTTTGACGTATCTGAGCAGGAGTTTGAATTCCTCAGAATCGTGATCCAAAGGCACCATCCTCTCTAGACGAAGGGAATTGTAATGAGAATCTAGTTCATTCATGTTGTTATCAGACGATCTAATCAAGGAGGTGGCGATCTCAATTTCTCCCAGAGCCTCGACCATGTCTAACTTCTGTTTTAGAATCGCTTCGGAGTTGATAAGTGCGGGTTTTCTCATACCAAAATTGTGTGGAATGACAGAGTAAAAATCATTGCTGAGTTCTTCTATATTGTACGAATCTTTACCGGTCAAAACGGCTTCGATCTTCTTAAGTACTTGGTATCCTTGGATTATGGTGTTTTTCGAGAGTTTACCCAAGGGCAATTTAGTCGCATCGTAATTTAACTCAACCATCGTATTACTAAAGGCACTAATATCAAATATTGTTCTAATTATATCTTGGACCTTTGGATGAAGCTTAGATTCGGGGACTTCCGGAGGTTCCGCAGATTCGACCTTACCCTTTCCTTTCTTCGTACAATCAACTTCGTCCTTAGTGTCTTCGCAATCATCACCATAATCACGTTCCAGCAAGGTATACTTGCCCTTATAGGCAACAAATTTGGTGCCATCTTGGCATACCTCAATCCAAGAATTGCGAGTTTTGTCCCTGAACTTCTTCTCAAACTCCCTTTTCGCCATCTCCAATTGGTGGAGGGGACCCAAGGTAGATTTCTGACCATCATACCCAACCCTGCCCCATCTGGTGAAAACGAAGTACATATTCGCAGAGTCGTGCTTCAAAAGTTGAATGACAAAGAATTTGTTGTTATTATCAGCGACATTGGTTTGGTTGAGAAGGCAATCCCATACAATCGTGTCATCCGAGTAAACATGAGTACAATTCTTCTCCGGAAACAAGGGGTCAACGGGAGCTCGTCCTTTCTTGATTATTGTCACCATTTTTTTTTCCTCAACAACCTTAACATCGACGGTTTCGGTTTGATCACCGGTAGAAGATGTGCCAGCTTTTGTTTTCCTTTTTTTCTTGGTCGTCACCACTTGTGAACTTGAGGAGGCGACAATGGTAGAAACTTCGTCGGCTGCATCGGATTCCTCGGCTTTAACTGTCCGTTTTCTTTTGCGTGAGACCTCACCTTTCGATGATTGTTTGTCGTCTTTGTCGACTCCACTTGCATCGTTCATATCGACGTCGCCATCGTTAGCGTCCGCAGTAAGGAAATACTTGGATTCGTCAAGTTTACATTTTTGACTAATAGAATCCTCAACCCACCGCCAAGTTACAATCGACACCTCTTCGGCTCTTGCTTTCGCGGACGCAACTTTCGCACTTCCCTTTTCATAGTCTTCCTTTGTGATGACCAGGTGAGTGGTCTTCTTCGTTAAATTAGAAGAATGGACTGCGCCATGTTCCTTGACAATGGTCTGCAGTTTGCTATGGTTGCCAGCTTCAAACACGCCGGAGAAAGTGATGATGCATCCACTGAAAATCAAAGACATTTTTGTTTCACCAAGTATTAAAATATCAATTTAATATGGGTAAAGGCGAATGAACCCCAAAAACGCGTTTTTTCACCCGAAAATTCCAAAAAGAAAGTGTTCCATTATTTGCATTCACATCCTGTTCGCAATCCTATTTATATTCTACGCAAATGTCACATGACTCGGTGCGTGACACGTTCGACCTATTGATATAAAATGATGCGTCACGATAGAGTAGATCCAGTCTTTTCAAAATGGTCTTTCAACGTGAAGAAGGTATGAGTGCGTCTTTTCACTTGATAAAGAAGCATGTGGTAGACTCGCCGATAAAGATGGTTTCCATGTGTTCGACGATGGATTTGATCGCGGTTTGCAGTGTTTCCGGAAGCGTCTGGGTGGCAAGGTGGTATAATTCTCTGGAGAAGATTTGGCTCTTGTCGCCCAGTTTAGGCGGTGAGGAAAAAGTTGAAACTTTGGCTTGGAGATCCGACGGTAAGGTTCTCACTATTTTCTTTCTTTCTTTTTTTTTTTGTTACACAGTGGCAAAATTAACAGTTAATTGTTCGTATAACTCTTTTGCTCTGAAATTTTTTTTAAACTCAGGTAAAGTTATTGCCATTGGTTATTCGAACGGGACGATAAGACTTTATAATGTGGATAGTGCGGAGATGGTACACGAGCTGATTCAAAAGCCTAGTGAATCATCGAATTCCTTGCGCCTAACATGCGCCGGAATAAGTTGCCTTCATTGGGTACGTGAGACATGCGTAAATCTGGATCACATGTTTCTTGGACAGCAGGTTGTCATTTGAAAGTTTCTCTCGAGATGCGCGCACACAAAAAAAAAAAAGAGAGATTTCTCATCGAGCAGATTATTTAGGAGGCCAACAATTTTCTCAGTGCACACCCTATTCAAAAATACTTGCCCCGGTTGAATGTGTTAACACATGTCCAGCCAATCGGGTACATACAGATTTGGTCACCTCTTTGTTTTGTTTTTTGTTTTGTTTTTTTCCAACGAAATTTCAGTGTGTACAAAATCAAATGCCATCAATTTCCTAAAACGAAACCAGTAGACCATTGGGAAATATGAGCGAAATTGATGGAGATGAATTGGAGGACGAGACTGCGAACTCCATAGACCTGCTCCTAGCCGGCGACACACATGGAAACTTGCATCTCAGTGTATACGGGGTTTATAATTTACAACCAATCTCGTTGTCCCAACATGTTGGCGCGAAGGTAGCGGAGTCGAACTTTTCTTCGGAATTTAATTGCGGATGTCAATTTACCAACTGACAAATAAAATGTTTAGAATATAATGATCATCCAGTCGTCGATTACCCCAGACTTCTCCCTTATCACGCTTCTGATTCGAGTCAACAATGGTCGCACATCTTCCGCTGTCAAGGTGCCACCGAAGGATCGATTGTTGGTGATTACTCTGGACACGGGATTGTTGTATACGCGAAAATTCGAGATTCAAATTCTATCTCAGAGGTATACCGCCATCAAGCACCTAACAGATTACATATATAATGGTGTCAAGTTGGTTGAGGCGGAATACCAAACTATAAAGCTTACGTCGAATAAGTTTATCGATATCTTTCAGGAGGTGTTAGACAACCATACCAGTGAGTGCATTGCTGCTGATTAATGTGATTATTCCGTGAATCTTGCAATTTCATACTGAAGCATGGATCTTATCATTTTGGTTGGTCGTGAGAAAGTAAAAACAACGTTATCGGCCGAGTATGCCCGTTTATTGGCCACCGGAAGGCCGAGCAAGATATTGGCCGAGTACATGGAAGGACGCATAACAAAACGAGTAATGCATTCGTCAAATGTCTTTTATTACACACTTCACTAATGGTCGAGCAAGGACATAATAACTTTATTCGTTGGTCGACCTTAAGGGATTAAAAGATTGGGAAAGCAAGGGTCGAAAGGCTTTCGAACAAATTCGAGACTATGTCCATCATTATATACGCGCTGGTTGCGAAAGGTTGCTTCTAGAGTTGAACGCGTTGGTCGGATATAGTAAATGGTAACGGGTTTCCTTTCCTTGCAATATAGGACACCCAGTGAACTTATTTATTATCGATCGACCTCTAGGCCTCAAAAATTTCAGGAACTCGGTCTCGTGGAATCTTTTGTTCACCCTTGTGTGATTATCACCGGATGTTTGATTTCACGCCTAGAAAAGTTGTTGAACGTAATTGACAACGAGTATATTAACTTTCTGGAATTTCAACAATGGATTCAATTCGGTAAGTTATTGGTCACCTCACGAATCGAATTGATTTTATCTCCTACAAATTTAGATAATACATATGTAAAGAATTTGATAGTTTGGCGTTGCTCGATCAAAATGGCATCCCAGAGGTCCCACCCAGAGTAGATATTCACAAGGTTGCCGCGTACTTAAAGAACTCGCTCAAGAAAGAATCTTCAAGTGATTTGGAGGAATTTTTCGGAACCAGTGAAACATTGCCTATATTGACGCTGCCAACTTTTGAATTCCCTTTTTCTTTTTCAACTCAACATCGTCAATTTAATGAGAAGATGCCAGCATACCCGTACGATTATCACGTCATCAACTCAATTTCCCATTATCCACAAACACTTTGGACCTTTGTTAATGTGTTGACAACTCGTTGTAACACCTTGTCGTCCTCGACGGCAGACAACGTCGCAAGGTCCGTGATTGCCAATGGATATTTAGAATTGATTGATGAACTTGTTGACAGTTTCGTCGAATTGGGACAAGGGGATGAAAAGGTTAAATCTAAAAGCGTGCTCTTGACCGACATGAGAATTGTGGTGGAGGTATTCGCCTTTTTCATTTGCATGTTTGGACGACCATCTTGATCCGTTTCATGAAACCTACAGCGTTTTACAGAATTCGGAAACTGTTGAATACATAACATTTCACGCGTCGAGTACAACAAAGCGAGATTTATCAGAAGCGTGTATGCAAATGAAACCGGCTTCCTGGTGTTCTCCGAGAAATCTCATTGAATCATTATTTACGCATTCTTGAATTTTAAGTGTGGGTCCTTCGATTCCCTCTGGATACCGCAAGTGATAAGACTCATGAAAAATCTTTTCGAAAATCTTCTGGGCGTAAACCGGCGGAGATTGCAGGCATTCAATTGATAAACAAAGAGTACCCCGAAGCGTGCCTTTTAATCAGAGATCTGAAATTTTTTGATAACGAAAGATTGCATATCATCGTTGCGGAATCAGATGAAAAAGGTGAGTTTCGTTATCGATTGCGGGAGAATCGCTTCAATATCAAACATTCCCGTTCGTTGTACGTTCATAGGCGATGAGATTTATCATTTGACGGAATTGAATTATACGAGTTTAAATTTTCTGCCAATTAATGAACCGCGAGGAGTGGAAAACATGGATACGCTGGGAGTCGTGAACGTCGTGGATCAGGTTTTTGACAAGATGGTAATGATAAATAATTTGTTTCCTCGTCCTTTTGAGACTTTACTAAATTGATATCGTAAAAGGAAAAAATTTTTTCTTTATTAAAATTGATAATCATTTAAGAAAAATGGCAATTTCACGCCATTCTTAGTTCAGCGATCGCAGAACTTGAAAAAGATCAAGCCATCTCAATTGACGGTAAATGGCGCACGAGATTTAGTGTGTGTGCTTAACGGAGACAGGAAAAGAATCTTGATGTTTGATACTAACGATAAAGAAGAAACGGATGACGAAAAGGAGGAGGACGTCTATGGTAGTTCAGAGATGATGGAAGAGTAGAGGAGTATTATTGGAACGCGAAGAATCCGTGAGAAATTTTAGAAAAGGCAGTGATATTATGAGAAATCAATGTGTTGAAATTCTAATTTAATCTTAAAATTTACTTCTTGATTCTTAACAATACGATATGCCTACAGTATTTTCTCGGTAAAGTGAAATCGATGCTTTGATTGATGACAACCAATTAACTTTGACATGATCGACTTTAAGTAAGTCTGTGATTTCGGGCAACTTGAGAGTTGTGATCAGCATCGCTCGTAAAGGTACATGCGGAAGAGGGGTTTTCACTTTTTTGGTTAACTTATAATAATGTATGGTTTGCGAAAACCTTCTCACACAGTATATATAGTACGGGACAAAAAAAAAGTACCTTTTCTATTTTCATGATAATTCAATAAATAATTAAATATTAATTTAAAGTCAAGCATTTTTACAAAAAAAAAAAAAAAAATAGAAAATCATTTTATTTAATAAGCTTATATATAATAATCCAATGCACGAATGTTCAATATCATGCAAATTCTACTTTATTTATTTTATTTATTTGTTATTTTTTGCTAGCCTCGCGTCTTTAGTATTATAAATACATGTTTCTTAAGTAATGCGAAAATTTAAAGACAAGAAAGCACAAAAGTTCAATTCAAACATCTTTTACATACCTTGTAGATTCGGAAAGATTTAACAATAAAACTCCTGAATCTAATAGCACGCGATTTTGAGATTGTGATAAGAGATTAGCAATCTCTCGGGCCATCTCGATTCTCCTCAATTCAATGAAACCCGGTTTATTCTTGATTGCTTCACCGATCAACTCCGCTGATATCGCCTCTCCTTCTGCTTTAATGATAATCGATTGTTTTTCTTGTTTAGCACGTTCAACGATGAAGAATGCCCTCTGTGCTTCTTGCTGAGCAATTTGCTTGGCCTCTACCGCGTGAGTGAATTCTGGTGAGAACGCAACATGCGTAATGGATACGTCATCAAGTACTATATTGAAACGCAATGCACGACGCGTCAAATTCTCTCGAACAAGACGCGATACCTAAATTGAGACTCTCATGCATTAATGCTAAACATTATTTATGCTACTATGTTGAAAATTCTCCGTATTCATACCCGTTCACGTTGTGTGATCAACTGTGACGCGTTAAACTGCGCGACAACCGCTTTGAGTACCTCATTCACGATAGACGGAAGAACACGTTCATCATAATCCGTTCCAAGGGAACGATAAATAGTTGCCAGCGAGTCAACTTTGGGTTTCGATAAGACACGACATGTAATATTCACCATTTGAAGATCTTCGAGACGGTTCTCAAGTTTGTCAATCATCGTGAATGTAAAAACGTGCAATTAACAGATATATTATCCATACAACCTTTGGTTCCAGTTAGGGACGCGATATTTCTTGGTTTTGCTCTGACATCGTAAATAATAGGTGTCTCAAACCACGGGATCTTAAAGTGTGTACCTTCATTAAAAACCTCTTTCTTGACCCCAAATAAACGAGTGTATTTGATCGCACGATGACCACCATCGACTGTGAATTATTGCAAATTAGAAGATTAAATTGGCTACTCTGTGAGAACTTGAAAAAGAAAAAAAAATTTTTCTGAAAAGATTACCATTAAACAGACTCGCGTTGATTCCGAAACCAAGTGCACCCAAGGTTATAAGAGTGCCAACACCTGTGAATAACCCTCGGCCGCCTCCCCTTTGCATCATGTTACCAAGCTTGTGCATCGCTTGTCTCCCTTGTGAAGCCATTCCTTGCCTATGAGTGCGAAACGATGTCAGATCGCATATAAATTTTGCACGTGATACTACTTATCATTGATAATCGCAAACTATAATTAATATATAATTCTAAATAAAGTAATTAATATTATTGAAGTAACAGAAGTAGGTAGTTTTTCTTTCCGCTGATCCTCTGATCACACACAAAAAAGATGTTTGCAAGAAGTTTTATACTTCTTTGCTAATAAAGTCTTTACACTTTCATTAAAACAACTTGAAGCTTGTTTTCATGTATCTCCTTTACTTTCCCTTACTTGTTTATAAACTCCTTTAAATAAAAACTTGAGCCTCTAGTGGCCTAAAAAGACTCAAATACACATTTCCTCTACTAAGGGTAAGAAGGTTCTAGGAAGTAAAGGAACTGACAAGTGGAGTATTACCTTACAGAGCTAGAAGCAACAAGAAATAGAGGTTTTATTGATAGAGAAAGATTTATTATCCACCTTTTCACATACTGTCTTGTACCCTTTTAGAGTGTCTATCGTTTTTCATGGTTTTCTTGGGAAATTTTGCCTATCTCAGTTTGACCCTGAATTTTTGGTAGCACAACATCACCTGGCATCTAATTGGTTGACACGAAACATATTAGTAACTGAATATTAACAAGCTCATATTGGTCACCTCACATGTTCTGATGATGTCATTGGTGATAGAAAGAGTTGATTGGTACCTTATGTCCATCCCATTCCTCCAATTGTGTTAATCTACAGATCAAGTATCATGAGACCAATAAGATACGAGCAACAAGTCCCCAGGTGGTAAAAAAGTTACTATTCATTCAAACTGAGGTTTTTCTCTTCTATCATTCTGATTAGGCAAAGTTCAAGACCAAGATCTCTTTTTTATCCCGATTAGGCAATAAGACCGAATGGTCTCTAGTCTATACTAAGTCTCAACCTTTTGGTTACAGTTGAGAATGCATTTCCTCAGAAGTTGTGAAAAATATCACAATTGATGAGGATCCCCACTGCTTTTCTGGTACCCTCCCACCATTGTGAAGCAAAAAGATCTTTGAAAACAACTATTTTGGGCAATGGAGGATATACATCAGTAAAATTTCTTTAACTAGGTATGGCTGCTAGAAGGTATAATACTGAAACAACATGACCTAGTCTCTACTAGGCCATATAAGAACCTGGGGTCCATCATAAGTCACCTTTCCATCGCAGGTGGATAAAAAATCATTGCCCAAAGAAGGTTGGAACCAAGTGTGTTCTGGAAGTAAAGACTCTCACTAGGAGATAAGTCTCCTCAAATGATACACAAGAAGGAAATCAAGATTAAGAATGGATAAGTTCCTCAGATGGTCAGGAAAAGAAAGGATATTCCAATCAGGCATTTCTTATTGAGAAGAGATCTTGAGAAGCAGGTCTTTGGAGGAAGCTGGAAATATTTTTTTACTTT